CCCCCTATATTGAAAGACCCCCCCCCCCCCGGGCTTTAGCAGTGAAACTCTAAAAATGCAAGGGTTTCTTTCTTTTTTTTTTTTTTCATGTGTGGGTGCTAATAGGGAGTCATGGTCCCAGGCATTCCTAGCAGAGATCATGGAAACTGGGGATAAGCATTGCAATTTGACTGATAACCTGCTGCATTGCAGGCTTCGTAATTGACAACATATAAGAGTTTTTCAGACAGAGATGCATTTTTGTGGAAGAAAGCTTCGGAAAGATTAATGCTAAAGGTGTCGAACTTTTCCAGAATGGGTCAGTCCACGAGTTCTATCACTCGAAAGCACTGATTACTTTGGAAGAAGTAAATATTTCGGTCATCGAAATAAAGAAGGATCTCTATGAGCAAAACTTCAATGGGGAGGCAAACCGGTCTGGTGTTACTAACTTTTGTTGTATGCAAATTAGTCTTGTGATGAGCATGCGGTTTATTTTCAGCAATGATTGAAGTGACGTGCCATGTTCATCACATTTCTACTCTTTTTCTCTTGAATCAAGGCCCTTGCATTGATTTTCGTGTATTACATGCTTACTCAATCAATTCAGAAACAAGTTGTTGAATACAATGTGAAAAGTAAATATCCTGAAGAAGACTCAACCATCAATAGAGCAGGATGTGAAAAACTTTTAGTGAGGAAATCCTGTTTCATGTAGAATTGATTGCTTCCTCATTTTTTATCAGTCTAATCCCAGTGCTTGAAATTAACTTTTGGGTCTGGTCTTCCGCAGGACCAGTAGGATTAAAATTTACTGGTCCATCTGCAAAACTACTGATCACTCTTTTCATTTCCAATTTTTTTTGTTCCGATCCACTCAGTTTGACATTATTTTGGCTCACATTTTAATTCACCGAAGGAAAATAGATATGGACCTTCGAGACGAAATTACAAAAGCCGTCATCTTGTATCCCACAGTGGATTTTGTTTCAAGTACATGTAGAACCCAGACTTTATTCGGCAAGAGAGTGCATACCACTTTTTTGCCTGTTCGTTTTTGAAACGTTTGCCTTTGGCAATTCTTCGTTTGTTTCAAGGCTTTTACCACTTTTTGGTACGATACAAAAAACTAGTGGGAAAGAAAACTACTCTTTTTCAGATTTTTTTACTTGTTTTGGATGAGTGGACGACCGTTAAGTTGGAGCACTGAATCTCCAAGCAAGCTTGACTGATCAATGCTTATAATAGCGTTCTTGTTAACTTTCACTCTACTTCTGACCCTTTTGTAACTTGAGAGCTCCACAACCAACCATGAACACGTACATGTAGAGAAGGCATTAATCTTAACTCAAACATCTTTTTACAGTTTACAAGGCCTTCAACTGTCTCACCAGAAATGCATAATTGTTACATAATTATATTTATTGCTGAAATAAAATTTCCTTTAACTTGGCCTTTCAAGGTGTTAATTTTGCACCCTGCTCTGTATTTACTGGTACACTGTTAAGGTCTAAAATTTTCTTTTTATCAGAACAAGGGTTCAAAGCATGAAATTCACAAACTAGAACTGCTGCCTTGAAAGATGCATGTTGTTCAGTTGGATTGACGGTGTACTGTACATGTAGTTACAGTACTGCTCTTGTTCTCTAATTTTATCCTGTAATAATCATTAACACTGGAAGGTGTTGACTACTTAGTAGTCAACACCTTCCAGTGTTAATGATTATTACAGGATAAAATTAGAGAACAACTGGTAGGGCACTTGTTGAGATGGAAGTACTTTTTATAGTTACACGTAATAGAAGAATGGAAAGAAATATTCTTGTTGGGGAACCTGGAAACTGGAAAAAAGTAATCCCTCAGCCTGCATAGCTAGCAGAATTATTATAATGATCATGGAGTGCTTTTTTACCAGTGGAGCAGCCACATGTATGCATAGAACATGGTAAAAGCAGAAGGTCAAGTCAATTTCACTTATCCCTATTCCTTGCAAGGCTCCCCTGCTATAAAACCAAAAGCACTTGTGAATAATGCACTAACTTACACTACATGTACCGTAAATCCCACCAGTTACTAAAAGTGTCTATTATATACATACAAGAATGTGCACTGTACATGTAGCGTAACCATGCTTATTCACACTGGTTAGAAAGACTCTACTACTTAAACATTTTCTTGCCTTATGTTTTTGAGGAAATGCAAGGACAGTACCATAAATTTTTTTTATCTAAAATTTTCCAGAATTCCTTTTACCAAGTTCATGATGTTCCACCACATGCCAAGTATGGTGGGCGGAATACTGTGACATTGATCCCAGGCGATGGTGTTGGTCCAGAAATGGTCACAGCAGTGCAGGACATATTTAGGTACAAATTGTGATATTGCTTGTAGTGTAGTAATCACCAGATGTTAGTTTATGTACAATGTACATAAATCAACACAATTCCTGTACAAAATTGCAAATGTTTGACTACCCATGATCGCTTTTGCTGTCAAGCATTAGTTGTTTCTTCAGTTATCCTAATTTGCTACCCCTTTACACTCACTGCATTGAAGTTTAAGCTGAAAAGCCAACCTCTGAAGATTTAAAATCTATATTATCCACTTTGCACCCATCATTCACTCTCCCATAGGTGCCAATTAAGAGCCACGAGTCAAGAATAGTCCCAGATCTCATTTTGATGACACATTCTTATTTTGAACAAGTTTTCTAGCTCCTCGAAGTAACATGTCAAATGCTAACGAATTGCCTAACGCCTCTAACGATTTTCATTGAATCATCTAACGGATGACTAACGGACAGCTAACGGTCTAACCGTTTAACGAAATATCGTTAGTGTACGTTTTCCCAAAGAAGGTCACATATAAATGTTCTACAGGTACGTGAGTTTCTGTTCAGAACAAACGGTTTATTATTTTTATTTTTCGTAGAGCATTTCCTTTTTTAAAACCACACATAGCCGTGGTCACATTACACAGTATTATCCTGAAAAAGGAAATTTAAGAGCAATTTATTTATCTCAGGTTTTTAAGCTTACATTCCCCGAGTGACCAAAAAAAAAAACAAAAATTCGGAAAGTTACATTCTTTAAACGGAAATTTTTTGGTG